GCGGAAACAGAAAGTGCTGCGTGGGCAGTGACTCGGGCAGATGTCCACAGGTTTCCTCTTATCAACAGCCTTGTAAGACATTTTATGAACATCATTTATGCAGGTTAAGGTGAAATCAATAACGAAATAATAATAATGAATCCTGCCTCTAGCTAAGCTGATTAATAGAGCCATGATGATTCCAAGTCAGATAATCGGTGAACTTAGAATAGCAAATGCGAAGAAGTCAGAAAATCTTTAAACATGAATACCGCCGTGCAAAACCACTTTCTCTGACGCCACGTAGCTTTATCTTATCATACTTAATATTGAAAACATCTGGTACTGCTATTACCTGCCTGACCCACATGTACTTGGTTTCCTCGAGTCTGACAAGGTTAAGAAGCTACCGGCAAATGCCACTGCCTCCATCTAAGAACAGTACACCAGGTCATTAACATTTCTCTGGTAGGAATATTAGCTTCCTCTGACTGATCTGCCTTTGGGGGTTAAGCTCACCCATTTCCCACTACCAGGTCCAAACTGTGAATTTCAAAGTCCCTTAGTGTACATCAATCAGCTCACAACCCTGGGAAGCCAGTACAATTCGAGAAAAAAAAGTTAAGTCGTTGAGCTTTCTGTATATAGTTGGCTTTCTGTCAGGACTCCAACGTCTTTGTAGCTTATATTTATCTAAATATGTCTTCGGAGTAAATCACAAAGCTGTCTAGCTTTTTGAAACTGGCTGAGCGCAGCCCTATTTTGGAAGACGCTTGGCTGGATTCAGAGAGGGTTCATTTCTCTGAAAACAATCAGTAGGCCACTTCTGAAAGGCCTGAGCTAGAGCTCTATGGTTTATGTGCTCGGGGCATGTTGAATTATTAGCCAGCTATTGTGGGTAGACAAACACTGCATCGCTTTACACAGCAATATAATGACAGAGTTACAGTATTATCCCTTATTACTTGATAATCACCATTTATACGGCAGCAGAGCAGTAACTGCTTGTTTTTATCATAGCTTTTCAGGACCCAAATATTTCAAGGAGTAGTTCACCCAAAAATGAAAATTCTGTCATTATTTACACACCCTCATGTCAGTCCTGTCCAGTCATTATAATAAAAGAAAATTAGGACTGGGGCTGTCAAGCTCCAAAATTATATTAAAAAAAGCACTGTAAAACTCTTCATATGAATCATGCACTATATTCCCAGTCTTCTGAAGACATGCAATAGTTATGTGAGAGGAAAAGGCTGAAAATCCACCCTAGCTCTCTATGAGCGTTCATGGGACTTCTTGAGAGAGATAGTGATTTGAACCTTTAATTCAGATCTTTTCAAAGAATCAGTTCCAGTTCACGAACCTGAATCATTTGGTCAGTGAGTTTGAATTAGTCAGAGTTGTCAACAAATTTGTTTTGCGTCTCAGCAATTAACAGCCCACTGGATTGAAAGATTTTTTCAGTGAATATCCCCTTAACTTTTGATTGGTTTTTCGTACAAAGCTGACTTTAGCAGAGTTTGAACAGTGCAACAGTCATGTGAACCACATTTACGGTACTTTTGCGCTGTTTTGGAGACTTTCATGGCATGAAAGCTCTACTCCACATTCTTTGTAAAAGCACGACCAGCATATTCTTCTACATTTTTCCTTTTGTGATCAACAAAACAAAGAAAATCACACAGGTTTGGAACAATATTCCAAGGTGAAGCTGCAATAAGGGTTAATAAGTCATTAACCAATCGCTTAACTGTGCCATAAGAAGTCATTACAAGACTTTAAAAGCACAGTGCACTCGGTAAAAACAGCAATCGTTTTGAAGCACGCTATGGAGAGCTCATTAAGGGAACCAATGAGCTAAATGGCTTCAGAGAGTCTGCAGACTTCTGGAGTCATGTTTGAGATCCAGGCAGGAGCTGAGAGATGGTTTATGTTTGCAAGGCTGAGATAGCCAGACCCCCTGCCCATCTGTCGAGCTGAACTCCACCGCTTCGGGCCAACAGGAGCGGGGCAGAGCACGAGGGGAGAAAACTCAATGTGTGGGAGAGCGATTTGTTTCTGTTAAATAAAAGAAAACAACCGTTTAGAAGGCAAATAAACCTATCATGGATACAATGAGAGAAACAAAAGACGTCCTTCGTGACGAAAAAACTATGGAAAACAAACACGTGCGCTCAGAGGGAAGGAAAAAATCCAACCTCGGCACCCAAATCAGGCAAACTCAAGATTCAATCAATTGCCGCTCTTTGGAGGTCATTTCATGCCGACTAACTGCTCGCCTCTGCCGGAATAATTGCACCCAGAAGATTAAAGAGGGAAAGTTTAAAATTGGCTGAGGGGAAGGGGACATAAGACAAGATGATGCATTCTGCTTTCCGATTCCTCTTAATGCACCAATCACATGCAACCTGAGCTTGGGGTAATGGCTGGGTCTCATGGGTATCACTGATCGAAATAGCCTACACTACCAGCGCAGGGGCCCGTCTCCGAACAGGAACTGAAGTTAATATAGGGGCTAATTTAGCTGCACCGTAAATAAATAGGAGCAGGCATGTTCAAGACTGCTTTCCAATTCGTCATTCGCTTTTCATTATTCGGTTTCACCGGCAAGACTCTAGACTTCTAAGAACAGGGCAAGGGTGGAAGAACTTCTAGAAGCCTGACCAATCCCTCGGATAAAGTGTGTAAGTGCGCTCGCATTGAGTATGAGGTGCATTTCTGAGCCCACACAGTGAAATCTGTAACTGTAACCACAGTCTTTCCAGGCTGCAGAGAGTGCTGACCACAAATGGCCTCCGGCAGTCGTTACCGCACACGTCTCTGCAGGGCTTTTCCCCCACGACCCACAGACCTGTCTTTCTCAGTCTCCATCGCCCAAAGGCCACTATCCTCTCTCTTTCCTTCATTATTCATCCGCAACGTCCTCTGCTCGCATTTCATTCCGCTCCTGAGTCTTACTCAGCGTTAAAACGTGCTCTTTACCTTTCCCTGACCCCTGTCAGTGTTTCCAGCTCTGCTGGCCATGGATGGCCCCAGCCTAGCTCCGCCTAACCCTTCCCGTGTGCGACACGGTCGGCTTGCTTTCCCCAGCTGGCCAGGCTTGAGGTTTTTAATGGGAAGGTTATGGGTGAGGCCGTTCATATCGCACTAACATCAACCAGTGTAACGAACCCTGACAAGGCAAGGTTACAAACCCTGCCATAAAGCGCTCCCGCCCTGGACAATCTTCATTAGGCATACTCCAGTTTACATTTAGAAAATGTTCAAATGAGATGGAACAAATAAACTGTACTTTACATTTGCTGTTGGAAAAGAGAAAAACAGACATTTATAGTAAACATTTGGACTTCCGCCTGAGCCAGCTCATTCTCTCCCTGTAATAGACAAATATCAAAATACAGTATAGACAAGTATCAGATAGATATTTATAACAGATAAATATCAGTGTTTTCATGAAACGGAGTATAAGTGCAAACAGCCCACCTTGTTAGCAGAGGCTCTTTACACTAGCTCCACCCACCAATGTCTGGTTGGCGTAGACAACATTACAAAAGAGCGCATTGTACAAAAGGCTCACTGGCATATCTTTCGACGCGATCAACCCGAGTTCGAATCCGCCTTTTGCTGAACTCATTCTTCTCTCTTTTCCCATCACATATCTGACAGGCCTTTTTTTTGTCCCAATATAAAGTGGCTTCCATTTAAAACATGATAGTTTACACTCAATATGTTATGACTGCATGCAGTTTTATAATGTACTACAATTATGAGGTGCAAATATCAGCCATTTTTTGCACTAAGTATAAACAGCATCTACTATTTACACTAATTGCAAAGAAAATTCTGCTATTTTTACATAGTGTAAATAGAATCTATCACTATTTGCACTATTTTTTCTATTGCTAATAAAATATGCTATTTTCAATTAGTGTAAATAGCATCTATAGCTGCTGCTGCCTTCATGAAACTAGGGATGCACAATCACAATTTAGTTTCGGTTATATAATGTAACAGCCAATTAATGAGCAGTTTTATTTTTTAAATTTTCATGTGGTACATTATAATGTGATGCCTACATTCACTTTTAGCATTTATTAATTAGAGTTTTTAGCATTTTATTTTTTATTTATTTAGACAATTTGTCATTTTAGTATCGTTATCATTATCAAATTATTTTAGAAAATAATTATCAGGTTATCATTATCGGTTATCGGTATTGGCTTAGAAATTAGACTGTCAATTCCAATTCTAGTCCATATAATGTAATTAATATCAAGCTAGAAAAGCATGTTCTATGAGTTGCTGGTTGTAAAAACCATTTGCAGTACCATGCCATACTGTACATTAGTGCAAAGCAATAGTAGTAACTTGTGAATGATGAGCAAAGACACTCATGTCTAGTAATCTTTCAAACCAGGGAAACTATTATATACAAAGCTTCAAATGCCAGAATCTGGGCCAGCCAATCCAATCTCTGTAGCTTCATGGAAATGTTTCAAAAACACAAAGCCGCTTGCAGAACTTAATGGTGCTCTAGAGTGACTCCTGTGTCAAAATCGGCTTCAAATAAACACTTGTAAAGATTAACCTTTGCTCTGGCACAGGCCTGACCTGATCACGCTAGATATATTGACGATTGTAAATTCATAAATGAAGTATCCCGCGGCTGGTAAGCCAAAAATGTCCTTGATTCAAAGCAGAGCAGGAAAATATTCAGAATAAGAATGTCGTTTATCCAAGGAAAATATTCCTTCTAGCATACCTTCCCCTCTCCAGCAAGAGAGGTCGTGTCACATTAAGCTTGGCCCGGATTCCCGGTCCATCTAAAAGAATCACATCTGGATGGGCTGAAGGAATAACACAGAGAACATCCCTGCACTGACAGCGTCCTTAAAACAGCGTTTGGGAAAGTCAAATATTTTAGCAAGATCCTTTCCAGTACAATGATCAAAATTAAAACAGTGGGAAGTTTGACCGCAAGCTTTTCCAGGCACCGATATCAAAGGGAAGCGATGACTTACAGGCGGCCCAACTTGGGTGTGGATTGGAACAGCAGCTCCGGCAGGACCTGGAGCCGGTTGCGGTTCAGGCGGCTGTGAGGAAGAGAGCACAGGGAAAGAGCAAGAGTTAGCATGGTCAAAACATCTACAGTCAAGAGTGAAGAAACATAACGTAAGAATGATCTTATGCAGAGTATAGATCAGTGGGTATGCGCTTGGGTGCGCTTGGGTAGTAAACAAAGATGGAAAGGTTGTTTGACTTGCACAGCGACATGCAGGCATCTGAATACCTAGATGGATGAGACAACAAGGCAAACGCAAACGACACACGGACAGACCAATCCGTCTTTCTGATTAAAGAAACAAGCCGAGTCAACGTTGTTATTAGGATCAGCAGCATCACGACTGGCCAATAGCTACTTCCTGGGCTAAGGGGGTAACAGCTGTGCTGGGGCTGATGGGAAACAAATGTACTTCCTCTGAACATGGTCTAGGTTATCTCCAGCAGTGCTCTTTAAAGGCTATTATCACTCACATGAGCCTGGCCAGACTGACTGTGGGCTTTGATAGGATGACCCTTGTCACGGGAGTGTGGGTTTTGATGATAGCATGCAGGGTCACAGAGCAAACCAAAGGTATGTGGAGGAGGAACATCACTAGCATTTTGTTTTGAGGATCTACAACGTTTATAACTTAGTTCCTTGCTGTAGCCTTCAGGTAGACTCATTCTTGAAGGAAAGAGTTGGTTTTCTCTTGCTATGGCCTCAGCTCCATACCTGAGCCTGCTTGACAACATCTTGTAATATCAATAATAACATAAATGGATCTTGTAATAGACCTTAATCAGGGCAGTGCCATATTTAATTTTTGACAGGAATTAAAACAAAGCTACAGTGTGAGGGATATAAATAATGTGTGTTCAATGGATTGTACTGCTGTTTAATAACATACAGACTGTTCAACTGATGAAACTTCCTTCTGAAAAAAAACCAAAAACTCCATAAAACAGTTGTGAATTGTTAAAATTACATGATCTAATACCTTTATACAGTGAGTGCCATTGTAAAGACTCTATCCCTCACAGCCTTGTTAATTTAAATCATCCGATATAAATTCTATATGGCATCTAACCTGATAAAGGTCTATTGTGCTTTATGAATCTGTGGGTCAGTGACTAGAATTATATCAATTTATTAACCGAAATTCATAAATACAATTAACACACCTTTTCTAAAGTTATTTTTATATTTTTGTATTTCTTAATTTGACACTGAAAACTCTAATGGCTGCTGAAAGCACACAATAATAAAATATATTTTAATAAAAAGTTTAAATGTATTAAAATAGATTACTGTTACATTAAATGGTAATAATATTTCATCATTTTAATGTTCTTACTGTAGTTTGATCAAATAAATTCAGTCTTGGCAAGAGACTTTCAAAAACATTGAACATTTGAATGGTAGTGTATATTTAAAGAAAATAAAAATAAAAAGCATTAGGACACTCGCATACATTTATGGTGTAAGGATTTTTTTTTCCATTTGATGGTCACCGCATTACATTTTTAATTACATTTTTTAATTTGAACTTTTCTTAAATTATATAAAATTATTTTTACACCATAAAAAAATCAAGATGAAATAAAAAATAAAAAATGCATGGTTCTAAAAGTAGATTTTTAAAAGATTTTTCTTTATCGTAGACACTCTTATTTGTCATTGACCCCAGGGCTTGCCTCAGATTTGACTCTTGTTGAACCTTTTTTTATAATCTATTTTTAAGCACCATGTAAGTCACTATGTCTAGCATGAAAACATTTCTGTTCTTTCTGTTTCCATATCATTAATTCCAGAGCACTTGCTCTCATAGTGGGGTCAAGCTATTTATATGTCTGCTGGGTTACAACAACAACAAAAAGTCACACTTGGGTGTCAGATGGAGGGAATGCAAGTGAACGCACTGGCCATCTCTCCGTTGAGAACGGGTCATTGAGCTAAACGCTGTGAAATTCCAAATACGAGTGACACAATGAGGAATGTAGATCTTAAGATCCAGATAAACCAGACCCACAAAACCACCACAGAGACAGATTCTTCAGAGGCGGTAAACAGACTCTCGATGACGGCTGCTGATTTTGATGCACGTTCGTAACTAACATGTGGTGGCAGCTGCCAACAGACTTGGTTAAACACAGACAGAACCGTGCAAACATTTACAAGGAATGAAACGCACTGAGACATCTACACATAAACAAACTCAAGGATGCTAACACAGGCAAACCACAGTCCAGACATTCTTTAACCTTGTCCAACGGCAGTAATAGCTAGCATGTTTGGTCTGACCCTATGGTCAATTTCACTGGGAAGTGTTAAGATTCTCACCAGAAAAGAGCAAATGGCTGCGCTCCAGATGTCATGGGGCAAATGAGCAATTAAACCCGCTGGACTTGAAATGAAAGTTCTGGAGGTCACCTTCAAATTCTCAAAGTTCTTTTTGCTTTTGTGAAGATGTTTTAGATTAAAACTGACAAGGTCAATGTGTTGCTCGTAAACAGCTACAAATTCTTTTTTCCAAAGCACACATAGAGAAACATGTGGAATATGTATCACAACCGCATGCGAGTTCAATCATTTCTTCTATTTGATACTTACATTCTCTCAAGCTGTTTGAGATCCTGAAATGCTCCTCTTTCGATCACACTTATTTGATTGTTCTCCAGATGTCTGTGGAGGGGGGGAAAAAGAACTTCATTATCCAATCAACTCCGGCGATTCAACTTCAACTGACATTGATTAGGTCTCTTGAATGATTGAAATGACAGTTGAAAGAGAACTAGAGGACCTCGTGACTTCGCTTCGTCACAACAGCGAATGATAAGCATGCAGGCTTTCCTCATGAAAACCAGAGCAGATTTCTCTCTGATTTTATGAAGTGTGCGGTTGCCTCAGCAGACCCGCGTTCGTGTCCAGCATGCTTGTGACGGCGTACCGGAGGGTATTTTCAGAGCTCTCCTCTATTCTGAAGACTTTGTCATATTTCAGGGCCCTTAAAATTTTCCAGATGCATTACAAAGACAGCACATCTCCATAGCTATTTCTTGTTTATATTTGAGTCTCTTTGAATCAGGGCAAACGCGCAGTGACACGCATTGGACGCACACAGCCACTAAATTACATTCGGCACCGGATAATACAAGCAATCCTCCAAAAAGAGAGACAATCCTGAAGCAAAGTGCCTCTAAAGTGGACTTCCGCTTTCTGGGGTTATGAATTATGTTTTTAAAGCAAATGTTTAGACACGCAACTGTTTTTACAGCCATAATCCACGCGTTGTCATATCATTCTGTCAGGAAGAGATGAGACATTTGGCTAAGCCAAAGGCTTTTTTAAGAATGCCGCAGCTTTAAGGCACAATCCAGCATGGCAGGGCAAAAACACGAGCGATCCCACAGGACGAGCCTAAATTGATTTGTTCGTAATAATTGCATTCTTCACTGATAACTAACATATCATATAGTCTGCATCTATCATAAATCTGTGCCTGAGTAACTATCCGGCTCATTCTTACAAATAGGGGATCAACCCCTCCGTGGTTTATGTATTCGCATTAAACGTAATCCCTTTCGATCCTGACCAGATGGGTTTTGGTGTGTGCTGAAGAATAATAACGGTTCTTTTTCTTCATTTTTCACCATCTCTCCCTCTTTCTGTTCTTTGTCTTTCTCGTCTTTATAGAAATGTTTTGAAGTTTTGCATAGAAACATATGGGACACAGGAAAAACACCTATGCTTTCACAGGGGCTGACAAGAAGAGTAGAAGACCTCTCTATTGAAAGGGTGAGGCAACACACATGGTATTGCTGGAACAGTCTTTGTTATTCTTGCCTTAAGCGTTAACCAAGTGCTGGTTTATAGGAAAGTCCCAGGTCAGTGCAGACGGTGCTTCCCTGAGGACCTTTGAATGGGAAAGATCTATGTCCCAAAGTAAGGTCAATCTTTAACTGTAATATTTAATTATTGTTTATTTATTAGGAAACAAAAATATAATAATAATCATTACTTTAAAACAAAACTGATCAGTGCTTATGAGTGTTTAAAACACATTTGTCAATCAAAAGTCAAATGGTGTAACCAAAATTCAGACACATGCAGGAGTGTAAAAAATAAAAAGGAAATGATATCAGAGGGCCCATGCAGACCCTCATAATTGTGTGTCAAAGTCATAAATTATGGCCATGTTATGACAAGGCAAGGTTAGTTCCAGTTGTAAAATGTCAATTGGTGTAACTCTCCAAAACCCTTTTTATATTTATGAATTAATAATTCCGATATGTTTAATTTTTTAATTTGTATTTCCTTATTTTATTTATTAATTTATTGATTTAGAAATAAATTACATTGCAAATGGCACTTCTCTGAGGACTTTTGGGTGAGAAAGATCTTTGTCCCAAGATTATCCTAAACTTTTGCCCCAGTTAATTTATTAATTTATTATTATTAATTATTATTAATCCAAATTAATGTATTTCTTTGCAAAAATATTTCCATAAAAAAAAAAATAATAATTGTTTAAAAAACATATGTCTGCCAATCGAAGTCATGTGTTGCAACAAACATGCAGAAAATAAATAAATAAATAAAACAGGGCCCTACAGAGCCTCATAACTGTATCTTAAAGTCATTAAAAGTTCAGGTTGTAAAATGTCATTTGAACCTACATTTAAAATCTTTTTTGAAACTAATAAATTACAGTGCAGCTTACACTTCTTTTTAGCGTGGGAAAAGTCTATGTTTCAGAGTGAAGCACAAGCGTGGAAGAGTGCATAGGTGTGATTGGATGCTTGTCCCGGGCTATCAGACAGAAGGGATCACGGCACAAGCCTTCCAGAGAGATAAGGGGTGCCGAGGCTGTTCACAGGGCCCAGGGAGAGGCTGCTTTTGGTACACGCCATGACCGTTAATCATAAACCACCTTAAACTGCCTCGTGCTGCCTGCCAGCCACTGCCTCTGCTTACGACTGCTCTCTTGGGCGTTTATTTTACTCCTCTTTTTCACTTGTTTATTTTTATCTCCATTCCACTCTCTTTACAGGATCTCGTTCAGGAAGAAAACAGCACAGAGAAATATATGATTACAGTCATTAAGCTGAAAGAACACTTTCTCCAGAGAAGCCCAACTTGCTAGATCACCACTGCCCTGCACCTCTCCGAGCAACCGTCCGTCATTTACAGTATTTATTCTAAAGGTTAAAGTTTCTGGAATGGAATATATTGTCACATATTCCTCAAACTTAAGAACAAGTTTGAAGATTGACTGCATCTAAGGCGATGACTTCATGCGAGGTTCAGTCACAGGGTCATATTAACCCTGTGACTGAACGAGGTTCAGTCACAGGGTTTACTCAGCTTAAATGTCAGTTTGTTTTAGTATGACTTGTGCCGTAATCCTCCTGGCTTTCAGCCTCGAACCCTTTGATGGCTTTGACTGTAAAGACAACACGGAAGAGGAGGGGAACTTGGGCGTTAAAGGAAGGATTAACTGTAAGAGCGAGAGATACAGAGTGACATCTTACAGCACGCGTAGGTTCTTGAGGCCAGAGAAGTCCACTTTGGTGATCCGGGTGATGTTATTCCGGTCCAGATCCCTGGAAAGAAAAAAAAAAGGGAGAGGGATTGAGAAAAAAGTTAAAAGCTTTTCATTTCACTTATGCTTTCAAACATGATTTTTCAAGTCTCAGCTCACAGCACAGTCAGTAAACAGAGAATTTAAATTCAGAGGCTCCCTGGCAGTACCTCAACGGCCCCGACTCGCACCAGATGCCCGCGGGGCAACGCTGTTCAAAGCTGGCGTCTGCCAGGGAGCATTAGTGCCATGCTGTGGAATACTGAGTCTGAGAGGCCGAATGCCTCGCATTCACTGTGCTGGAGGCGACTCCCTTTCAGCATGCTGCTATTGAGCTGCCTCGACTCTAAACATTTCCATGCACACGCTCTCATGCACGGCTCAGGGTCACGTCAGCATACACCTGCCCTTTTCTGTTCTACATGTACAATTACTCTATACAATGCTATTCTTTTCTTAATATGTTTAACTGGGTCAAAGTCCCTTTCAAGGAAAATTTGTTTACTCAACGGCCATAACTTGCAATGCCTCCGGGCAGTTATTTCGGGCATGCAACTCCGAGTCTGATCCACTTGAATGGGGAAATCCTGAAATCCCAAAAACTGCTTGCCATACTCTCATTTAAATACCATGTTTCAAATCAGTAACAAAATTTGATGTGATTTACGCCATAAATTTTGTTTCCTATGCTTAAATAGTGTTAAAAAAGCTTATATTTCAGGCTGGTCTGGCCAATGCGCATGTGCAGTCCTAAGCTTACACCTCAGGACACTAACTGTTTCTATCATGGACTGTAAATAAAGATGGATGACGCATCTCCACTTTCCTCCATTTTAGAAAAGTGAAGCCAAAACATCCCAGTATGTCATCTTGAGCCAATAACGTCATTTGGAGCCAGAGTCTGCACGGTAGAGATTCATTTGGAGCACGAGTCTGTGTGGTTGATTCATTTGGAGTTTGAGTCTGCACGGTAGTGATTTGCTTGGAGTCAGAGTCTGCGCGGTACCGATTCATTTGGAGCTTGAGTCTGCACAGTAGTGATCCATTTGGAGCCAAAGTCTGCTCAGTAGTGATTCATTTAGAGCCAAAGTCTGCTCAGTAGTGATTCATTTGGAGCCACAGTCTGCTCAGTGGTGATTTGTTTGGAGTCAGAGTCTGCGCGGTACTGATTCTTTTGGAGCCTGAGTCTGCACAGTACCGATTCATTTGGAGCTTGAGTCTGCACAGTAGTGATCCATTTGGAGCCAGAGTCTGCTCAGTAGTGATTCATTTGGAGCCCGAGTCTGCGCAGTAGTGATTCATCTGGAGCCCGAGTCTGCGCAGTAGTGATTCATCTGGAGCCCGAGTCTGCGCAGTAGTGATTCATCTGGAGCCCGAGTCTGCGCAGTAGTGATTCATCTGGAGCCCGAGTCTGCGCAGTAGTGATTCATTTGGAGCCCAAGTCTGCACAGTAGTGATTCATTTGGAGCCCGAGTATGCGCAGTAGTGATTCATCTGGAGCCCGAGTCTGCGCAGTAGTGATTCATTTGGAGTCAGAGTCTGAGCAGTAGTGATTCATTTGGAGCCCAAGTCTGCACAGTAGTGATTCATTTGGAGCAAGAGTCTGCGCAGTAGTGATTCGTTTGGAGTCAGAGTCTGTGCGGTACTGATTCATTTGGAGCCTGTGTCTGCACAGTAGTGATTCATTTGGAGCAAGAGTCTGCGCAGTAGTGATTCGTTTGGAGTCAGAGTCTGTGCGGTACTGATTCATTTGGAGCCTGTGTCTGCACAGTAGTGATTCATTTGGAGCAAGAGTCTGCGCAGTAGTGATTCATTTGGAGTCAGAGTCTGCTTCATTTAGAGCTTGAGTCTGCATGGTAGTGATTCATTTGGAGCCCGTGTCTGCACAGTAGTGATCATGAGCTGGAGCAGCAGTATCAAAGTCCCGCCCAAACTCCCGCAGACCCAATCACAAGCTCACAACCATGATACCACACCCCGTTTTTATAGCATCAAATAACTAATTAAAAGCTAACTTTTTAGAAAAATTAACACTTGAACATACATCAGCGCAATAAGAGCTACCTAAAGTGACAGAAACCACCTTTGGGAAAAATTTTATTTGAAGCGTAAGTTGATTTTTTTTATTTTGGCTTACGTTCCATTTGTTTAAATGAAGAGGGCAGGGTTTATGACCTATACTGAAGCCAGCCACCAAATGGCGATCGAAATGTTTTGGCTTCACTTTTCATGACGTGTACGGCACACTTGGTTTCATTGTAAAAAGTGATTGCAGCGATTGGTTGTCACAACTTTAAATTCAACAACAAAATAAGTAATAATGTGTTCTTTCATGCTTGACTTAAAATTATAAGTTTAGTTAACTTTAGTTGAGTTAAGTTGGATTAATAGGTCATCTCAACACATTATAAGTTGTTGTAACTAACTGCAGCAACATTTTTCACAGTGCAATCGGAGCTAAAGTGACACCATTGCCTCTTTTATTTTGAAGGTGGGACTATTCCGCCTTAAGTCTAAAGTCTTTATCTGGGTCTGTTTTTTTTTTCTTTTCCATACAAAAATACGACAGCTAAAGACTAAACAAAAAAAAAAAGACAGCTAAAGGCTAAAAAAATGTCTGAGAAATGATATTTTGTTCTGCATGTAAGCAAAGCGAATGAGAAGATGGGAATAAACTGCTTGAGAAAGACAGACTGCATGGAAACATTTTTGTTTGGAAAACTTCTCCTCTTGCATCTGAATGAATTATATATTGCCAAACTAAGTATTTTTCCACTCTAGTCAATACTTTATCCATCCCAGACTGATTTATCAGTTGTTTCAAGCGTGTCTCAAATTGTATACATTCACTGAAATGAGTATACATGCCAATGGACTTCCTCTGTGGGCGCTGTTTACTGGAGCCCTGCCACACTGAAAAGATTAACGCTGAGAAATATACAGTGACATATAGTGACACACGCATACACATACGCACTAACATCGGGCTGTCTCAGTGTGTTTCTCATAATATACATAAACATTTATAAATCTGATTTAAAGGCATATTGGATTTCAAAAGACTTCCCCAGAACCACAAAACGCACATAAAGCAGACTAATATGAGCCATATAGGAAACATATTACAGGGGACAGGCCATTTACAGACCCCGGATTCCATAACAATGATCCTCTCCCAGACGTCGGCTGTGTTTCAAAACCTAGACAGCATTATTGTGTGTAGAAAGATGATGCTGTCTATGTAAGTAGCACACTTGGTTTTGAGACATAGCCATTATCTGCTATGAAAACCAACAATGACAGCATCTTTCACACCCACTTTTTAGCATACAGATATAGAAAAATGTGAATTACCTGAATCGACAAAGATGTTCAACAAAAATATTCCCAAAAATGTTGTCCCAACTGGCCTAGGGTTGTCTGAACAACTGCGGATTAAGCATGTTAAGAGTTTGAGAGCTCCCACTATGCACTGCAGCGTGAATAAATCAAGTCATTACTGTTATTATTGCTTTACTTTTTGCTGACTTCTTTATGGTGTTGTTTTTGTTGTTGTTTTTATCATCACTTATTGGTTGTGTGGCAAAGACCTTATTTCACTTAAAAGTGTTTGTTGATTGTCTGTGTTATTGAGGTACACTATTATTCAAAAGTTCTGTTTTTTTTTAAGCAAGGATGCATTCAATTGATCAAAAGACAGTAAACTAAATTTGAATGTTATAAAAAGATTTATATTTCCAATAGAAGCTGTTCGTTTGAACTTTCTATTCAAAAAATCCCGAAAAAGGTATATGGTTTCCACAAAAATATAAAGTAGCACAACTGTTTTCATCATTGATAGTAATAAAAAAGTTTCTCAAGCAGCAAATCAGCATATTAGAAAATAATTCTGAAGGACTGAAGACTGGAGTAATGATGCTGAAAATTCAGCTTTGCATCACAGGAATAAATTGCATTTTAAAATATATTAAAATAGAAATTAGTTATTTTTAATGGTAATAATAATTTTAAAATATTACAGTTTTTACTGTATTTTGATGAAATAAATGCAGCTTTGGTGAGCATAAGAGACTTCAGCAGTGTGTTTTAAGTGTTTAAGAGATGACTGCGTCTTTTATTCACAAAATAGAGTTAGGACTGATCGGTTCTGATGAGTTCTCCCTGACTCACTGGTCTAGTTAAAGCAGTCGACAGACTTTATGAAGGTTGAAAGTTTCAGATCCTATTACTTACAATTGCATTAAAAGAAAATTACCAGTACAAAGTTTCTCCTGCATTGAACTCAAAAATCTTAATGCATCATGTTCCCTTGATCTTTTAACTTCTCCACAATTCTATATAAACAGTGCTCCCACAAATTCTCCCTCTCCCAGTCTCTCCACGTCACTCTCTTTCCGTTTTCACATGCCCTAATCTCCCAGTAGTTCTCTCTTCTGTAGTTTTCTCGTCTTGTATCCTCTCACCTGCTTGCAATGTAATCCCACTAATAACACTGCACATTTCCTCCTCTCCCTCTCTCTCTCTCTCTCTCTATCCATCACTTCAATCCTCACCGTGTCAGTTTTTACAGCATGTGTTAACAGCCCAGAGAGCTAACTAAGTCCTGCTTCCTCTAGAAACTTAATCAAACCTCCGGTCACACTGACAAGGTGGAGTTCACAGATATGGCAGCCCCCTACTGGCTATTGTTTGTTTTAATTTGTTGAGGGGATAAGGTGCCCATTCAAATGGCAGGTGTTCCATACTAACAATACGCCCCCTCTGGGGCCCACCCCACCCACGCACGCCGTTAAGCCACTCAACCCGACTCATCCAAGTCATAAGCCGGCAGAATACTCTGGTAAAGTGTGCTTCTCAGGACGGCACCGGACAAAGAGAAGAATCTTTGTGATTTTGCCTGGAGGATATTTTGACTGCATCGTGCCGCAATTGCAACACTGCAGACAACCGAGGTGCCCTAAGACTTCAAAGCTGAGCGCGAAAAATGTGCATGAAAACAAGAGTTGCTTTTTCTGTTCCCAT